TCACAATTATTTATATTTGCCTAATTCAGCCATTTAATCTGTCTTCTATATGCCAAATTAAAAAAAAATGTTCTATTTCTCCTTTCATGTTACATGGACATTTTCTAGTGTAACATTTTAATTCTTTTAATTTCTTACTGCTCAAAGGCTTTCCATACATCTTATCAGAATATACAACAGATTAATACTAACTTCAGCTTGCTAGAACTGTTCTCTTCATTAGCTCTAAACCCTCTTTTTGTGTTATTATACATATTCAAACCCAACTATACATATTTATAGCAATTTGTGTAATTTTCTGTGTACTAAGCTGACAAAAGAAGAGCAAGTATACAGTTTCTTTGTTTTCAGTACTGGGGATCAAACTCAGGATGTTTCACTTGTTAGGTAGGTGCGGTGCCACTGAGCTAAGTCCCAGGCCCTTAGTTTCTTATATTAACTTTGCTTTACCTTTTCATTCTCTCCATTTGTTTCTGCAGTTTCAAGTTGCCATCTGTTATTTCTCTACTTCAATCGACCTTTGCTTCCACTTCTTTTATATTGGTGTGAACTGTTACATTTTGATAAGTCATATTCTCAATAACACATTTATATGCATGTCATTTTATATTTTAATCATTTAAAAGGAGAAAGGCAAATAAATATGCTGGTACAATAACATAATTACCACTACTAGTACTTTTTAAAAAAAATACGGGTTCAAATTAGTATCTTGGGTTATTTGCTATTACAGTGACTTGAAACTAACTTCCTTCAGTATACTTTGTAAGTTCAGTCTGGTAGCAACACATTCTCCCAAATGTAATTTAGGTATGTTTATTTTTCAAAGATAGTTTTGCAGCATGAGTCTTGGTTAAAGTTTTTTTTATTGAGCATCCTGAATATGTCATCCCACTTCCTCTAGCCTCCTTTGTTCTTCTTTTTTTTTTTTTTGGTGCCGGAGATCAAACCCTGATCCTTGTGCTTGCAAGGCAGGGGGCGGAACCACTGAGCTAAATCCTGTTCAGAAATTTTAGTGCTTTTATTGGACTTCTTGGGTGAATTGTTCTACTCTTGCTTTCTAAGCTTTCTCTTTGAGTACTTTTATACTCAGCCATAAAGAATGAGAAATTAGATTCATTCATAGGAAAATGGATACATACTGAGGATATACTCCTAAGTGAAATAAATAAGTCACACATGTGTAAGTGCTGAATAGTTTCTCTGGTGTGAAAAACCATAATAGTACATAAGATCCTAATGATATAATTGACAATGTGAAATAGGAAGAAAAGGGATAAAGGTGTAGGGAAAATGGGAAGGGTAGGGGAAGGGCAATAAGGGAAAAGAAAAAAATATGACAAAATGAAAAAAAATGGAAATAAAGTGTTTGTAAATGGGGACGGGAGGAGGGGGGTGAAGGGAGGGCACAGACAAGGGGAAAAAATGAGAAGACCTGTCATGTAAAGGTACAAGATCCCAATAATGAATGGAATTGAACTGTATACCTTAAATGTACCAATAAACTCAATAAAAGGAAAAAAATTTTACCAACAGAAAAAAAAAATATATTTATTTATTTATTGGTACCTGGGATCAAACTCAGGACCTTGTGCTTGAGAGGCAGGCAGCAGAACCACTGAGCTAAACACCGGGCTGTCTTTGAATAATTTTAATTTGATTCGTCTGTCTTTGTGCTTTTGCTCCTTGAAATAAGTTGTTTCTTAGATGTATATTTGTTTTTTTCCCCTCACATTTGAAGTTTAGAGTCACACACATGCTCCCAATCTTTCTTCTTTGTTATTCTAAGTCTGCCTATGTGCTTAATGTGATCCACATTGAGGTTGTGTTAATTTTTCTCCAATCTTTCCCTTCTTCAGATTGCATACTCTCTATAAATCTATCTCCAAATCACTGATTCATTTGGTAGTTCAAATATACTATAAGCTTCATAGTAATTTAAAATTTCCATTATTGTATACTTTTCAACTTTTTCATTTTTAAAAATGTAATTATTTCAGGGCTAGGGATGTAGCTTGGTGGTATAGCCCCCACCTAGTGTGTACAAGGCTCTGGGTTTGATCCTCAGCACTGCAAACAAAATTAAAAAATAAAACACCCATAAAATAAAAACTATCTATATGATTATCTTTGATATTCTTTTTATTTGATGAGCAGTATAATCAGTCTTAAAGCATGATTTCCTTTTGTTCTTTAAAGATATTTTTACTGGCTGCTTTGAGTTTTACTTCAAACTAACATTTGAGTACACTGACAGGTAGTTTTGTTTCCCCTACCTCATTAGCCCACACACTGTTTCTTTGCATGTCTTGTATTTTTCTCTTTGCAAACTGGACATTTATTTGAAGGAATATATTGTACCAACTCCAAATATTAATTCTGTCATCTGTGAGGCTTTTTATTTATATGTTAGCCATTTGGGCACAGTATTTCAGGCAAGGCTTCTTTCCCTGGCTATTAATAAAATTTTGATACTTATGTTTAACTGGTGCAGAATCAGGAATGTAGTTACCTTGGATTAGTTTTTCCTTTCTGTACTGCTGGGATAAAAAACCCAGGGCCTAACACATGTTAACCAACTATCCTACCACTAGATTACAAGGCAGCCCAGAGGCACTTTGTGGTTTTTCTCTCTTCTTATTTCTGTAGTGCTTAGTTTCCTTTCCCTGCTGGTTATTTGCTCTAGTATTTTTTACATAATCCTGGGACACCAACTGCTTAAATATGAATTAAACTCAAATAGAAACTGTATCTGGTCACTTTTTTGCACTTGATCTTAGCCAAAAGGCTGAGAAGCAATCTGGTCATTTTTTTGGTTTTTGCCTTCAGAAAAAGGCTCCTTAGTCTCCCATTGCTTTTGTCCAGTAAGCTGGCTGGTTGTTTGCTATCAGCCCCTTATTAAGTGCTTTCCATTAAAAAAAAAAAAATCTCATTTTTTAGGTGGGTATTCATAGCTTGAACTTTCCATTTTGCTTCAAATACACTCAGTTCCTTTTTTGGAGCGCTTTCCAGCTGGTTGCCCCTAGTCAGAAATCTCATGAGCCACTACTCCAGGTGCTAGGTAGGGCCCTAAGTTGTCTCTTGGTCTTCAAGGCTTGCCTCTTGCAGTAGGAAACTTCTACCTAATGAGTGAGCCAGAGCGACGGTAACTGGGCTTCCAGTATTTTGAGCCTGTCCTTCCGAGGATAGATGGAACTTCTGCCATATGTCTGACAGCAGGATAAAAGAAGTGTTTTCTTATTTTTGGCTGATGTCACAAGGAATTTGTTTTGGAAGGGATGATGATGTTGATAAGCTCTTCATCCTGGTGAGATGCTGAATCTCTTGACTGGGAGCAGAGGGATAGGAAATATCTTTCTGGCCAGAACCATTCAGTGTGCTTTCATCAGGCTGAAATGAGGGTCAGGAAGGGGAGAAGTTCCTGGTTCACTGCCACAGGATTTTTCTGTTCCTACTTATTTGTTTTTGTTGAATAAATGTTTCCTCATTTGCTCTATGCCACTAGGACAGTTTCTAAATTAAATAGTTGTTCCCCAGTTAGGCTTGTTTTGCTAGGAAGCAGGTCTGCAAACCTGTGTTGCAATTCTGTAAGTAGAACCTCCATTGCTGATTTTTAAACTTATTATGTTAGAGGCTATGCTTATGATTATAATACACATTAAATTCAGTGTAGGTCATTCACTTAATACTAATCTGAAAAAAATCCATATAAATTATGCTACAATATAGCTGTATTTTTCCTCCAAATTTATGCTTGTCAGTGTTATAAATATAATTGTCTTCCAGTCAAAATTAATTTTATATATAAATTTACCCACCCACTTTATCTTTTATAATACTCAGTTTCCTTCAGTGGATTTGAATTGTCTGATATAATTTCAGTCTTTAAGATTTTCTTTAGTAAGTTTTTTAAAGCATATTTATTTGCTAGCAATGTATTTTCTAAGAGTGTCTTTATTTTGAATTTAAAGAATAGTTTTGCCAGATGGAGAATTTTTGGTCAACAATTCCTTTTATTCCACTTCAACTATAGTACATCATCCAGTGCCTTCAGGCCTGCACTGTTTGTGATGAGCAGTCAGCTGCTGTACTGTTGTTCCTCTGTAATATGAATCATATTTTCTTATTCTCAAGATTTTAAGTTTCCCAACAACTATAACATGGCTAGATACGATTCTGTTTTTCTCTTGATGTTCCACAGATTTTTAGTATGAAGTGTACTTATAAAACTTAGTTTATTATTGATATTAATTTTTAAAAAATAACAGTATTAGGGCTAGCATGTAGGTAGCTCAGTGGTAGAGCACTTGCCCAGCATGCATAAAGCCTTGGGTTTCATCCCCACCACTGGGTTGAGGGAAAAGAGATAATCATATTTTCTTCCTCTCAGAAACATTAGGGAGAAATAGTACATAGGTTTCCATTCTACATACACAGCATTAAGAAGTGACAAAAATAAAATGGTAATAGATGATCTGATATGAAATGAGTGTTTCCATTGCAAAATCAGTTTTTTTCATATATTGTGATTAAAAGGGAGAATGACATAGTAGTGCTCCTTTTCTAGGACAATTATTTATAAGACCTTAAATGTAATCTTTAGTGAAATGTCATATGCATTATAAAAAAGGGATAATTATGCGTGATGTGGAGAGGGCTACATGTGCTTTTATTTTTCATAACAGGAATCGAACTCAGGACCTTGCACTTGTGAGGCAGGTGCAGTGCCACTGAGCTAAGTCCCCAGCCCATACATCTGCTTTCTTAAGAATGCCACATCTTTTATCATACAGATTTCAAATATTTTTTGTCTATATCATTTAAGCGCTTTAAAAGAATGGAGACCTACATCAGCTAAAGGACAACCAATAATTATAATTAGTTCTTTATCAACACAATAAGGTTAACAACAATGATTAAAATACTTGCCTAATAGGCAAAATATTAATCTTTGTTTACAAATCAGTAGGCAAATGTGTAATTACCAAACAATGTATAGCACAAAAACAAGAAAGTGTTCTAAGTCTAGGTATTTTCATAGGTATTTTTCTCATATACATAATTAAAAATGTATTATAAAAACCTACATATACAATAAATACTTGATCAAAAATCTTTTAAAATATTCAATATGAAATGTATAGAAAGAGACATTTCAAAGTCATATTAGTTACTACTGTTACAGTATTTAATTATTTTTACAAGAGGTCTGCTGGTCCATTTCAATTAAATTTGTTCTCAAAACCATTACATTTCTCGCTGAATATCATTTAGAGCACAAGCAAGTTGGTTAATTTTTGCTTCCATCGCTTTTTTGTTCTTGCATGTTTCTTCCAAAAGTTCACGCATTTCTTCTTCAACTCGATGAACCTGAATCAATATATAAGTATTAATTTTAGTTTAATAATAAAATGTATTTTTTAATACATTCTGAAAGAAAGAAGACAACAATTGACTCTTAGGCATTTTGTGCTTTATGATTCATTTAATGCAGTAAGGTGAGTAAAATATAACTTTATCAAATGCTAATAGGGAAAAAACTAAAGTATTTTCACTTATATTATCTATTTAGTTCTCATAGAATTTTTGTGAAAAAGGATAATATACACAAATGTTTTTTTGGTACCAGGGATCAAACTCAGGATCTTGCCAGGCAGGTGTGGCGGTGCTGAGCTACATCCCCAGCCCAAGGATAATATATTTTAACTCTGTTTTAAAGCTTAGAAAAACTGCTGAAGGTCATGCAATTTCTAGGTACCTGGGTGAAGAAACAAACCCATGTTTGTGACTTAATCTTCCTACCATCCTTTGCTGTGTAGAAACACTGAGTTGTAAGTTTATCTTACACATCAATATCCTTACAGATTTTCCAATTTCTACAGATTTCTCTTCGATGTAGTCTGTACTATACTCCTTTCCTCCTTTATTCCACTGAGAATTGAACCACAGAACAACTGAGCTACATCTTTTGATAAAGAGTCTCACTAAGTTGCCCAGGCTGGCCTTAACTTGCAATCTTCCTGCCTTAGCCTCTGGAGACGTGTACATTATCATGCCCAGCTGTGCATTTCTGGGTTTTTGTTTTTGTTTTTGGTACCGGGAATTGAACTTGGGTCCTTACGCTTGCAAGGCAGGTAGCCGAACCACTAAGCTAAATCCCTGGTTGTGCATTTCTAAAAGTGCTGTTGGTGATTACATATCATCATTTTTTTTGAGATATTACTTTTATGATTTATGTTCCCTTAAGATCTCTGTATTTGGTACAGTTAACTTTGGCTTGAAAATCTCTTGGGCTGGAGATTTAGCTCAGCAGTGCTGAATGCAAAGTCCTGAGTTCAATCCCAGATACTGGAGGAAAAAAAACAAAGAAAAAAAGAAAAGAAAAATCTCTGGCTTATAAATACCTCAATACCATCAATATGACCATCCTCTTCTTCTTTATTCTTTCTAATCCCTAACACTAGTTTCCGAAGATTTTTTTTCTTAGAAAATTATTATTTCTACTTTTAAACTGTCACCTCTGTGTGACGCCCATAATTCTCCTTTAAATACCTGATTATCACATTTAAACTCCGGTTCTATTTCTCTAACTCTAACAAACTCTTCCCTTTAATATTATTTCATGTTGGCAGGGGGCTAACACTGAACCCAGTATTTTCCTCATTTTACATTCTATTTTGTATTATCTAATGTACTCCTGTTAAACAGCTGGTAGATGATAAATTAAATACCTGAAATATCTACTGACTTAAACTAAAAATAATTCTGGGGGAAGTTATACTTCTTTATTCATTGTGATTACTTCTAAAGATGCTACTCACTCTTTCTCTTTGCATAGAGTCCTGAAGGTAATTTCACTAGAACACAGAACTTTGTATTCTACATGTAGCATTACTTTGCCTTTCTGTTGCTTATTCCTTTCCAGTTGCTCATTTATGAATCTCTGGCTTAGATACCTTAGTTTCTTACTGCCACTTCAAAATCAAGGAAAAATGGAGATTCACAACTATGCCTGAATCTAGTGGATCTCAACAGAGGGGTCACACCAGAATCAACTGTGAAATTTTAAAAATACTTGGATTTCATCCAGGTATTCAAGTTTCTAGGGGAAGCTCATGAATGTGTATTACTAAAAAAGCTTCACAGGTGATTCAGATATTTGCCCTTGCTCTTGTATTATCTGAAACTCATTTGTCAACAATACCAAGGTGACAGAGTTCAAGGTGGTCTTGAACCCTAATAATAAAGAACTCTTTGAGAACTTTTCTAAAGTAGTGATGGTTATGTTATTTTAGATTATGTTTAATAAGTTCACATTCTCACCTCACTTATGCCTAACCAAAGAATTTCCGTATGAGATTGGTTAGAGCTAAGAAAATATTTTTTCCAGGTCATGGAGAATCAAACATAATTCTGGCTTCATCAGAATTATGTTCCACACTAATCTAAGTATTACCAAGCCTGGTTTCATGATATTTGCAACATCCCTCATCTATTAGGTTGTAAAATCATGCTGGCCTTCTTCTTTGTAATTTCTAAAGATTTAATTTACTTAGCTATAACCAATTAATACTAATTATTGGAATGAATTTTATTTACAATACCTTTAAATTTGCAGAATCAAGGCATTTCTGTTTTTCACTTGCCAGTTGTACTATTTCAGCTTGATGAGCTTCAATAATTGCATCTACTTGTTTTTTAAAGGCATCATCCATACTATGAAGCTTTTCAACTGCATCCCTTTTAAAAAGCAGAACAAAATAAGAAATTAACAAAACAAAAAACAAATACATGAGGGGTTTTATGGGGGACAGAGGAGGGGATATCCATAATGTTATGTTATTGGTACTACTATATCTTTTTGAGATGGGGTCTCTCTATGTAGTCCAGGCTGGCCTCAACTTTGTGGCAATTGTCCTGTCTCGGCCTCCTGAGTGGTGGGATGACAGGTATGTGCCACCACACCTGGCTTACCGCTCTGTATCTTGACATGACAACTGATCATTAAACTATATTATCTATTTTCAAGGAACTTCTTATAATTTTATAAATTATATTAACAGGTCTATTTACTCATACAACAAAGTAAAAGCTTATTTCCTCTTGTGTACTTATAGAATGTACATAAGAATGGCAATATCTCTTTAAAAATCAGTTCTCCTTTTCAGCTTGTGTAGGCTACTATGCGAATATTCTCTGACCCCTTCAGGAGTTCACCAAATATATCACTAGCTACTTTGATTCAGTTTTAAAACAATAATCATATAAGGAAAGCAACAAACAAGTACTATGTATAAAACACTCTTATATATATTTATGAATATATACTATTGACATAAATGTGAATTTTATATCCAACATTTAAAGTGGGGACTATTATTATCTTAATTTTATAGATGGAAGGCAAATAGGAAATAAAGTTTTTAGGCAAGTACATTAGAAAGTATGTACCATATATTCTTTTGTTTGTGTTTTGCATTTTGAGACAGGATCTCTCTTTGTAGTTCAGGCTGCTCTTGAACTCACAGTGATCCTCTTGCCACAGCCTGCCAAGTGCTGGGGTTATAGGTATGTGCCACCGTGCACAGTTTGTCGCACATATTTTTTCCAGTATCAGGAATTGAACTCAGGACCTTGCTCTTGCCAGGTAGGTGCGATGCCACTGAGCTACATTCCTAGCCCTGTTCCTTATATTTTTGATACCTCTATTTTCATCCATCACAATTCAACATTTGTGTTTAAATAGCTCTCACATCCTTTAGGACTTAATACTTACTTTTGTAGTTCAATACTTTTGTCCCTTTCTGCTTTAAGTTTTCTTTCCTTGTTTTCAAATTTTTCTTTCACTTCTCTTACTTGTGTTTCAAGATGGCTTAGAAGTTCTCCTTTATCATGCCATTTCTGATTAAGTGTACTAATATGAGAAGTAATTTAAAAAGTAAATTAGCTGTATGAAGTTACTAAGCCACATTTTTCTTTGTGAAAAATATTTTAAAATACCTGTAAGCTTTTCTTATTTCTTCAAGTTCTACCTCCTTTGCTTTCAACTGTTCTTTCAATTTTTCCTTTCTTTCATTGTGCCTTTCTAGTTTTTCTATTATATTATCCAGCTGTAAAGATTTTTCATCAAGTTGTTGTTGAGCACATTTTTCTATTTCAGTCATCTTTTCTTGTAATATTTTGATTTGTTCATCTTTTTCTTGTAGACACTTTAAGAAAAAAAATTCATTTTTGTTAATCTTAAACAACAAATTCTCATTTTGAGCAATTAGATATGGTTTAATTAACATTTAAAAGGATATTTTAAACATAAAATATTATTTTTTCTTATTGACATTGAATAGTTGTAGTTATTTCAAAGTTGTAATAAAAATTTACATAAAATTTTGAAATAAAATTTAAGTTAATAAATATCTGGTAGCTGGGGATTTAGCTCAGTGATTATGCCACCAGCCTCAAAAGTGTAGGACCCGAGTTCGATTCCTGGTACCAAAAAAAAACCCCAAACCACCTCCAAAAACACAAATAAGTATCTGGTAACATTTTAAGAGTACATGAGAAATATTACAAAAGGAAATATACTTGCTCTCGCTCTCTCTTTTTCTCTCTCTTTATATATACACATATATATTTAAAGTTTTTATATTCATTAGTACATAATGATGGCATTCATCATGGGAAAGTGAAACATGTATAAAACACATTTTACTTCTTTTTTTTTTTAGTTTATTGGTACATTTTAGGTATACAGTACAGGTCTTGGTTCTTGTTTTTTCCCCTTATCCCTGCCCTCCCTTATTAAATTCTTTTTTTTTTTTTTTTTTTTTTTTTTTTATTGAACTTGGGACCTTGCACTTTCAAGGCGGGCAGTGGAACCATTAAGCTAAATCCTCAGCCTGCTATATTAAATTCTATAGCAGTTGGGATAAGTTATTTTTGGATACTTTGACCTCACCAGATTTTTAAACATGCCATTTACTCTTTTCCCCAAATGTCAAACTTACATCTTTTAATTTTCTAATTGTTTCAGTTTGGTCTTCTATCATTTTGCACTTTATTCTTAATGCATCACTTTCACTTTCATTTGTTTTTCTCAGAGATTCATTTTCTTTACATAAACTTTCAATTTGGGCTTCTAATTTTCCACGATTTTGAGCCAGACATGATCCTAAGAAACAAACATAGTTAGAAACTTTAATATACCTTGGAAGTTTTGTATAGTATGAAAATCTAATTTAATGATGTGTGATCCAGTAAAAAAACACAAACAAAAAACCAAGGCATATAAAGGAGACTTCTTCTATGAAGAGAGAGGAGACAAAACAAACAGGCTTTCTAAATAAATAAAATCAAGAACAAGAAACTCAGACGTGATATTTAATTCATGTCATGTCAAACAAATCATATTAAGAATTCCAAGAGAAGATTAAAAAAAAGAAAAAAAGAAAAAAGAATTCCTACAGGGAATAGGTAAATGAGAAATATCCTGTTAAAAACATATAGGTATTCATAAGGATATTTAAGATATCCATAAATGTCATAAAGAAGTGTATTATCTATTGCTTTACAGTGATTGGGAAGAGAATGAGACCAAGGTCTTACCTAAGCTTAAAGTGGTTTTCACTCATGTACTATTTTAAATTTCTGCATAAATTATAATGAAGTGGCCCAATTATATTAGCAAGAAAGCAATAAAATATATCAGAGCTAAACCATTTTGAATGTTTACACAAAAAAGATAAATGAGATTTCTATGTAAATTTATATAAAAAAATTAAAAACACATGGGCTGTAACTTTTTTGTTTGCAGTGCAGAAGACTGAACTCGGGTTTGTGTACACTAAGCTATCATTCCGTCAGTGAACTACATTCTTAGCCCTCAGAGCTCTAACTTCTAAATTGGTACAATAAACTTTTTCCTTTTCCTAAGTGGCATTTTTTCCTGTTTGTCTAGCAAATGCCTATTTATTCTTCTAGACAGAAAATTATCTTTTCTTGGCATCTCTTAAGTAGTTAGGTCCTTTTCACTCCAATACCCAAATTGTTTTGAGTCTAAGAATGGCTATTTACACTGAAAATTTGAGAGTTTTACCCTGTTGTGCCAGCTCATGTCCCCACACTTTTCTTTCTGTCCTTAAACCATAAATTAGTGATTCCTTGGCTGCTAGCTCAGAAATAAGCTGGTCTTTTTCATGCTTGAGAAGTTCTATTTGAATACTCTTCTCCTTGTCATCTTCGATCAAAATTTCCAGAGTGTTGATTTGATTCTGTATAGTCCCCAAAATTAAAAAAAAAGCAAAATAATTATTATATTAAGTGCTTTTTTACTTTCTATTTTTGCATTTTGAGAAAATTATTAAGTAAATAAAATAAATGTGCTAAATTTTATATCAGAAATTTTACTTTAATGATATAGGTTTATGAAATAAAAAGTCAAATTTTAGGTGCCACACCTTTGAACACTGTTAATTTTGTCTACAATTATAAAAGATGAATTAGGGCCAGGGATTTTTTTACTCAGTGATGTTGCTACCTGACTCACAAGCACAAGGTTCTGAGGTTCAATTCCCGGTATCAACCCCTCCCCCCGCAAAACCAAAACCAAAACAACAAAAAAAAGGTGAACTATATGTATAATATTGAAAATTTCTCAAAAAGTATTTATACTAATGGTTTAAAAGTTACTTCCTGGGAGGTACCTTGTACCAAACAGCACAATTCTAAAAGTGAGACAACAATAAGGACATCATACCTAAGTATGTCTAAAAACCATTACCACCACCACCTATAACAACTTAGTATCAGCAATGTAAGTCATGTTTCTCAAATTTCAAATCTTTCAGTATCACTTTCTCAATTCTTGTTGTATCACTATATAAGCAGCACCTATTTAACATTTCTTAAAATTAATACACTTATTTTACTTAACTATTTTAATGAAAATCTGTGAAATAAGTTTTATCTCAGTTGTAATTTTCTCCTATACAATGTATAATGAACATCATTCAAAAGTTCATTTTGTGTACTCTTAAAAATCATAATAAACTTGAAAAAATGATGAAAAACATTCAAAGGAAATATAATGTTAGAAAGTCTTACCTGTAAATTTGCTGCCGTTTCCTGTTTCAATTTGGAAACTTCTGCTAGTTTTGTTTTTTGTTCCTTTACCATACAGGTTAGATCTTTAATTAAAGAAGATGATTCGTTTTCTTTTCTTTGAGCCCAAATAAGAGCATGTTTGCTCTTGGCTAACTCAGCTGCAACATTTTCAAAACCTTCTTTAACCTATATTTCAAAATTATATTATAAATGGTGATTCTCTAAATAATTAGAAATATTTGCTTCTGGAAATAATTTACATCTCTCATTTTTAGAATCAGAGTTTTCAAAAAAAATTTTTGTTTCAATCTATTAATTTCCAGATGAAAAAACAGAGGCCCAGGGAGATTATCCATTTATCTTGTTGCCCAGGGAATTAATGGATTTATAGCTAGAATTCAATGATTTGACAAATATTTACTGAGGGCCTGTTGTACATCAGCCATTGTTCTAGGTAATGGAATATATCAACGAGGGACACACACTAAAATCTCTGCCTTTATAAAGGTTACATTCTAGTGGGTACCATGATATATAGCTTTTTATACTTATTGTTAGATATTATGTGCTTAAAAAAAAGGTTAGAAGGATGAAGTATTGAGAGAGGAAGGTTCAATTTCAAATAATATAATCACTAAGAAAATAACACTGGAGCAATGACTTGAAGGAGGTAATAGAAGAAGCTACGCTAATATGAAGGGCAAGTGTTCTAGACAGGAATATGCTAAAGGCTAGTGTCATTGGAGGTGCATGGCTGGAGGGAAGGATCGGAGATGAAAATGTGAGGGCTAGATTATAGAGGGTTATACCTCTGAGTAACTGAGGGTTAAACTGATTAAAATGAAGGGACAATAGAGCTCTTTGAGGAGGGGAATTGTATGATGTAATTTTTATTTTAGTAGAACATTACTGATGCTACCTATTGTCAGTCTAAACAGAAACGAGACATGGTGGAAGTGGAAGATCAATTAAAATGTTTTTAAAACAATACAGGTGAAAGATGTTATTTATACCAGAGTGGCAGTAAAAGAAATGGTAAGAAATGACAATAAATATTTTTTCAATAATGGTGACACAATCTCTTGAGTCCCTGGATATGGAGTGTCAGAAAAACAGTAGTCCACAATGATTTTAATGGAGCCTAAGCATGTAGAAGGCTGGAGAGCCTAAGCATGTAGAAGGCTGGAGATAACATTAACTGAGATGGGAAGACAAAGTAAGTAGAAAGTTTTGGGGAAAGCCAGGTAGTGGAGGTAAAGATGCTAAATAGGTGCTTAGACAGATCAGGAAAAAGGTCTAGGATGGAGATAAAAAATGAAGATTAAAGTATTTAACAAGAGATTGACTGTGTCTAGAAAGAAAAAGGGTTTAATAATTGAAAATTGGGCATTCAGAAAAAAATTTTAACAAAAACAAGACACCCGTAAGAGAGTCTGAAAATAATGAAGTAACAGAAAGCCAAGAAAACCAAGAGGTAAAGTATGCTGGTAACCAAGTAAAGAAAGAATCTGATGGAGTACAGAGATCAAAAGAAATCAAATGCTGTTCTGAGGTCAAATAAGATGAGGACTAAAGTGATGCTTTCCAGCGTGGATGTTTCTGGCAGCTTTGACTACAGCAATGACAGCACAGCAGTACGAATAAAAGCCTGATCAGAGCAGGTTAGAGAGTACAGAAATCAGTTATAACAGATGCACAATTTTGAGAAGTTCTGATGTAAATCACAGAAGAAACAAGGTGGTAGCTAAATGAGACCAGAGTTTTCTTAAGATGAGAGAAATCAGTGTCAGATGTATGCTGCAGGGAATGGTTCTATACAGAGGGACACACTGCGGATATAAGAGTGAAAGGGAAGATTTACTGAAGCTGTATCCTTAAGCAGGGAACAGAAAATGGGATCTGGAGTATTTTTGGTGAGACTGGCCTCAGGAGCAAGACTGTTCTTCTGCAACAGGGATTGCCAAACTGTAAACTGGGTTTTTCCAAGCCAGGGCACATAATCTTTATTGGAAATACTCAACTCTGGTCTTCTAATAAAAAGCAGTCACAGATAATATGTAAACAAATTGGCCTGGCTCCATTCCCATAACGCTATATTAAAAAAAAGAAAAAAAAAAAAGGGTCAGTGGGCTACTGGGCCTGTGATCTTTAGTTTTGCCAAACCCTGCTTACAGCAGTGGGAGAGATTGCAGATTTTCAGTTCTATTCTAATAATCTTTACTTCACCATTTATAATCTTAGTTTATAACCAACAGGAAGAAAAGTAGCTATTATTATTATTATTATTATTATTATTATTATTACTATTTTTATTTTTTTGAGACAGAGTCTTGCTATGCATTTCAAGCTGGACTTGAATTAATAATGTAACCCAGCCTAGTCTCAAACTCACAGCAATCCTGCCTCAGCCTCCAAGTGCTGGGATTAAAGATGTGCAAAACCATGCCCAGCAAAGTAGCTATTATTTTTATGAGGAACAGGCTCTAAGGACTTACATCTTTAAATCTTCTGGCTTCAACAGTTAAAGCAATACGGAATTCATGTTCTAAATCCAAATACTGCTGGTTTAATACATCAATTTTCTCTTGGTATTCTTTTATATCTTGTTCATGCTTTCTTTCTTCTTTGGCTATTTCCTTAGCTAAGGCATCCTGGAACTCAGCATCACTAAAAAACTCCCTTGTTTCAAGTTCTTTCCTAGAATGAAAAACAAATCAAAGGATGTTGTTCAAAAAGTGAAAAACTTTAAAGATTCTTAAATATTTCTTAGAATTTTATTTTCCCTAATGTTAATTCAAACTAAATTTTTCAATTTCAAAGACAGAAATTGAGCATAGGTATGTACAGAAAAAATATGAAGTTTTACTTGTGTGTATTTTCTTTGTGATCCTTTACAGAAAAAGCTTATTGATTCCTGCTGCAGAAGAATAATACCATTTAACAAATATTTACTTGGAGGTCAACTAAAACAGTTTTCTCTATATACAACAATCAACTTTTGGGTGGATTTGGAGCAATGCAAAATAAGCTTTATTTATAAGCTGTACCTCAAATGACAATAATAAACAACATCAGTAATGAATAATAAACAATAAACACATTGCTTTTTAGCTAGTAGTTGTTACAGGACTGATGCTAATACACACATAAACATGGTATTTTCCATGAGCTAATTCTATCAGACTTTATCAATAATCAGTTATTGTCTTTAATCAATTAATTCTGAGGGGAAAACCCACAAGCTTCTTTCTAATTTTAAATTTCAATATTTTTCTAATATACTTTTCTAATATACCTGTGCTCCTGTTCTTTCAATGCCAACAGTTCACGAAGTTGTTGCACTTGCTCCTTTTCTTGGTGAAGAGAAGTTCGAAGTAAGTTTATTTCTCTATCAGCAGCTGCAGCTTTGAGTTCTACCTCTTGGAGAAGTCTCATCTGGGTAAAGTATACATAGTTACAGTACTTAGATAATAATCTCTTCCAGCTTTATATTAATGCCAGTTATCATAAAAATTGTGCTTTATAAGTAACAAGGCCTAGTGATTAAGTTGATTTTCAAAGTTAAATCAGCAATGTTATGGTTACAAAAAGTATAGCCATTGAAGTGCCACATGTATTGGCATTAGTCAGGTGCAGCACAGATTTTGATGAGCATTTCCACTCAGCATGAAAAAGAAAGTCAAGCATGCCAAGTACTTTCAAAAACTAGTCCTCAAAATTTAAGCTTAACTATCTACAGTATTTCTACCAACTCTTAGAACTGCTTTGTGTAAGCATTGGTAGCATTAATTTAGACATAATTCAAAAGGCTACACAACTGATACATAATTTAATTTTCTGCCAATAGCTTAACATCTTTCAGGCTTACTATACAATATTAATTTGTTTCAGGCTAGAAGATATTAATTTATATTACTCCACATCAGAGATACATTAAAAGAGAAAAAATACCTGTGCTGCTTGCTGCTGCCCTTTTTGTCTCTCCATTTTTTCTAATGCTTTTTCCAGGGTTCGTAAGTGTCTAATATAATCCTCCTGTTGATCTCTTGCTTTCATTAATTCAATAGTTAGTTTTTTAATTTCATTTTGAAGTTTGTGAACCATGACTTCAAGTTGTGCCTTAGAATTTCTCTCCTTAAAAATAACTTCCTTTAATCTAAAGCAGAAATTATGCATGCCGTTAAGAACAGCACTCACATTTAAGAATGATAAAAACTGTACTTGGGGTTAATGCTTATAGAGGAGAAAAGACGAGTCACAAATGAACAAATCTGTTTATCAAGGAGATCTGGACAATGGATACAATTTCAAAAATGTTCATTTAAGCCAACACAGAGCATGGCACTTAAATGCCAGGTCCTACATAAGGTACAAATGATACAGAGTCCCTACCAAGCCATATATAGGAATAGCAAGATTGGTGAAGGTACCATCATAAACAAACATGAGTTTAAATAAAAACAGAGTTAGAAAAGATTGAGATTGATTTTTTAAGAGAACAACGGATATTTTCAAGAAAATACAGATAAAACAGACAGATATTCATAAGGAAAATAAAGTATGACACAGTCCTTTCAAATAAAACAGAATTTGGTGAGCAGCCTCAGACACAGCTTCTTCTAATATCCCATTAAATAATACCTACAAAGTAGAATAAAGCAAAAATTCATTCCTATATAGCTAAAAACAAAAAATAACATAATGCCAAAATCTGGGAAGATTTTCAATTTGAAAACAAACAGAACTAAACTTAAATAATAAAAACAACTTAAATTTTGCTTCATTCTGAAGAAAGGAAGACAAATACTCCCTCTTTCTGCCATTATCTATGTTTCTGTCACAGGTTTCCATAAATTGGTTAGGACACAGTGGTTGTTCAAGTGTGCTGTTTTTCTGAGGCAATAAGAGCACCATCAATTTATCCATCTGGTTTTCATCCCTGTCCATTATTTCCTTTTATCAATTCAGATAGAAATTAACCAAACACAAATAAAGTAATATGATGATTTAGATCTGTAATGTCCCCTAAAAGTCTCATGTGTTTAGAGTGGCTTTTCAGGAGGTGACTGAATCACAGGGCATTAAATTAAAAAGTGGATTAATCCTTAACAAGTCCAAAGCTGATGTGTTGTTAGGAGGTAGGACCTGGTTGGAGCAGGTGGATCCCTGGAGATGTGCCTTTGGAGAATACATCTATGGCTTTTCCTTTTTTTCCTGCTTCCTGGTTGCTGTGGGTTCAGCTTTCCTCTGCTGGGGCCTTCCACCATGACATTTCTACTTGGAGCCAGCTGATCATGAACTGAACCCACTGAAACCATAAGCCAAAATAAACCTCTTCTTTAAATTGTGGTGCTAGGAATTCTGTCTCAGCAACAGGAAATCTGACTAATTAATACAGGAAGGAAGGTGGGCGATAGTGGCAGGACTAGTGATAGCATTATGTATCACCACTTGCATACTTACAGAGGTTCTCATAGGGTACGTGTTAAGTATTGTAAATTTCCTTATATAACATGTCTATAAGATATGAGAAATGAGTAAGGAGGTAGAAAATACCAGTAATTGCTTAAAATAAATGGAGTTGGGTGGAGAGCTGTGTATATCCAACTTTCTATTCAAATGAGGACTTATTATAGGAATTATCCACTGTACAGACAAGTACAGCCAGCAGCTTCCAAACCATATCTGTGGCAAGTACCAAATCTGGAAACCCAGTGTTCCTTCAAGGATAAGAAACAAAACACAACAAGAACTCCATGGAAAAATCCTATAATAATTTTAAAATGGCATAACTTTAGAAACAATTATAGAGACAGAAAATGATTATAGTAATTTACAGAATAGAATACAGACTTCAAGAATGCAATATATCAAAAAAGATATAAGAAATAGAGTGAAGAAGGAAAAATGAGAACAGAATTCAGAAACCTAAGCAATCTGGTATCAAAGACCATTGCAGAAGATGAATATGTGACAAGAGAGCAAAAGGATCTACAAAGCCTCAAAATATTTGCCAGAACCTGAACATTATGGAAAGTCCAACAACCCCTGCTTTAGTCTCCTTGTTCTTTAGTTATCATACTTACTATCTGATACTTCTCAGTTTAAGGGATCAAATAAATGTACCTATTTCTTTTGTAACAAGTTAACAAAGCACTGATCTTCCAATCAAATAAATATATTTCTATCACACTACAGCTAGTTTCAACTAACACATTCTAGTTTAGTATGTTTTTTTGTTTGTTTTTTTCAGACAGGGTCTCACTATGTAGGTGAGACTGACCTAGAACTCATTATGTAGCCTAGGCTGGTCTCAAACTCACAGTGATCCTCCTGCCTCAGCCTCCTGAGTGCTGGGATTACATGCGTGCACCACCACACCCAGCTCGTTTAGTAATCTTTATGCTATAAATTAGTTTTAAGTTTATCACATATACTTTCACCTTACCTACCTGTCTGTGGTAAAAAGAGCCAGGCTATGAACATCTTTTTTTTCACTTGCTTGTTTGTGCAATTCATCTATGTAATCCATAAGGTTCTTTTCCGCTTGTTCAGCTTTCCACCTCATTTCTCTCTCTTGGTCCAGCTGTTCAACTAGGGACTGAAAGAAAACATTATGTGAACTTAGAAAAGTTACCTAACTTGTTATCTCCGTGTTTTTAGTTGTATGTGAAAATAACAATATCTATTTCAAAGAGCTCTGGTGAGAATTAAAAAAAATTAATGCAAGTAAAATGTATAAAATAGTACAGAACAGTGTCTGGCACATAGTATCTATACAAGAAATGTTAACTGTCATTATTAATGCATTAATTATAGTTATTACTTTTCACGATATTGTCCCCATAGCAGAGAATAAGAAGAGGAAAATAGTAAGAAAACCAGTAGTACCAAAGGTGGCAAGGCAACTCAGATACTGGGAAGAAAAGTGCACGGTACAATCAAAATAACAACCAGTATGCCAACAAGTAAAGAAGAACAAGATAATAACAACACAAACTAAAAATTCTCAACAACATGAGAATTGTTCAAGCTAACATTGAGTAATTTTAAAATTTCTGAATACCTCTTAATTTTGGTCCAAAATTCGGTTTCAGGTTAGTCCATAAAACCTTGAAATTATATATAATTCTTTTGCAGTATGTCTAAAAGTAGATTTTTTTTTTTTAAAATGAAAACCTATAGATCTCCTGACAGCCAAAAAGGCTAGGAACTATTACTTTAAAAAATAAGAATTTGCCGGGTGTGGTGGTGCACGCCTATAATCCCAGCACGAGTTTGAGACCAGCCTGGGCTACATAGTGAGTTCCAGGTCAGTCTCATCTACATAGTGAGACCCTGTCTGAAACCACTGCCCCCAAAAGTAAGAAATGATCATGTAAAGGTACAAGATCCCAATGATGAATGTGACTATACCTAAAAGGTACCAATAAACTCAATGGAAAAAAAGTATTGGAAACTTCTTTATTTATTTATTTATTTTGGTTTTTGAGACAGGGTATTATTGCTAGCTCAGGCTGGCCTTGAACTCACTATGTAGCCCATGATGGCCTCAAACCCACAGCGATCTTCCTCCGCTTCCTGAGTGCTAGAATTATAGGTGTGCTACCACATCCAGCATGAATTGAAAACTTGAATGCTGTTTCTCCTTCCATAAATATGTAGCAAAAGACTTCACTTACATCTGATCTTACATGTGTCATTTCTATTCCTTTAAAAATTACAAAAAAGTTGTATTACGTAAAACCTGGAAATCAAGAAGTGAAAAAGAACCTATTTTCATCAATCCATTTAAATTACTCAACAATACTTTTTGGTTATAAAGGCATGCCTAACTTTTGAGACTCTGAACTTAAAACTAAGATTATTCACATTAAGTAAAAAAGAAAATCTCTTAAATCATACCCTGTAAGTGTTGTCTTCTGAGCCACTTCTGTCTACTTTAATTAATTCAGTCTTTTGGTCGTCTGATTCTCGTAACATATTACAATTTGCTAAAGATGACCTTATGTATAAGTCCTTTAAGTAAGGTTGTTTCATTTTACGGTTACAACTGCAAAGAATAAAACACAAGAAATAACCCAAAGAAAAGTACAACATTTATACTGTTTTCTAATATTAACATTTTTACTTATTTTGTAAGCAGCGTTTTAGAAAAAGGATATTGTAGAGTATACTTGAAAAAATGTAATGATTTTTTTGCAAGGTATGATGGCTTATGCTTGTCATCCCAGGCACTTGGGAGGCTAAGGCAGGAGGATCTACACAGTGAGTTCATGGCCAACCTGAACTATGTAGTGAGGTTCTGTCTCAGAAAAAAAAAAAATAAAGTCATGATCTTTATAATGGATGTGCTATGTTGACTGATACCTAGCACCTGAAACTTTTAAAATGAATCTAGGGGACCAGGAATTTAGCTTAGTGGTTCCATCACCTGTAGGTGCAAGATACTGAGTTCAATCCCTTGTACAAAAAAAAAAAA